TACGGCCTTGGCCCAGACTCCAGGGACACGACCGCACCGCCAATACTTATTAAAAATTAGATACACCAGGCTTGCAATTACACCTCCACCCTCTGTTAGCATTTCAGTAGTTATCCTATCACATCCCGCTGCTTTACCTACTTTCAAACTCTTAATGGCACTCACAATTTCATCCATATTTATTTCTCCCACATTAGCACTTTCATTTTCATCGTTTACTTCCTCTTCTTTCAAATCACTCCTTTCAAATAAATTCTCGAAGTATTCCTTCCACTGCTTTAAAACATCCTTACTTTCTTCAATGACACTCATTTATATCCCTTATCGTACTTACTTTCGAGTCCCCCACTTTGCCTCTGGCCTTTCTAACTAAATGCCAGAATAGTTTAGCGTTGGCTCGAAAGTTCCGCGAAAAATTCCTTTCAAACTTTTCCTTGCATTCATTTTTCTTCTTGTTAACTACCGCTTTTGCTCTCTTTTTGAGACTAATGTACTTTTCTATCATACTTTCTAGCACTCTTCTATTTGCCTTTGAGGCTAATAAGTCGAGCCATGCTTTCTTCTTTTGCTCTATCACCTCTTTTACTTCATCATCCCACCATTCATTCCTCTTGCTTCCAGTGTTATTTTTCTTGCTTACCCCACATACTTGAGTAGCTACTGCGATCACTCCATCCTTAAATTCCTTCCAAAATTCTTCTATATTCCTTTCGTAACCTTTCATTAGCTCCCTAAACCTTTCATTTAATAGTTTCCTGTACTGGTCCCTAGCTGCCTCTTCTCTCAACCGTTCAACTCTCACTCTCTCGGTTCCAAGCAACCTTACCCGTGGCCGATGTCTCCACTTCATTGCCAGTCCAGCTATTCTAGTAATTACTAGGAAGTGGTCGCTTCCGACATTCGTGCCACGGTAAACCCTTGTATCCTTCAGTTTTGTCCTCAGGCGTTCATCAACAATCACAAAATCAATCGTACTTCTTTCTGTATGCCTCTGCCATGTATACATATGTATCTTCTTGTGACCAAATGTTGTGTTGGTCACAAAAAGTTCCTTTTCTACACATATATCCAGAAGACATACACCATTCTCGTTCACTCGTTCGTCTCCAAATCGCCCTAATACTCTATCGTACCCATCGCGTGCCACTCCAACCCATCCATTAAAATCTCCAAGCATAATTATTCTTTCATTCTCTTTACATTCATTAAGAACATCTCTCAAGTTATCCCAGAATACTTCCCTCACCCCAATTGGCTTTGAGATGTCCGGGGCATAAGCACAGACGACAAATAATTTGGTCAAGCCAATTTTAAGGCGGATCTAAAGTATCCTGGGACTCACACATTTATACTCTTTCACACATTCATTCATCCTTTCAGATAGTATGACCCCCACGCCCTGGCTGCCTCTCTGGGAACTTGCAACACCAGACCAGTAAGCAATATATTGGCCATGTGTGGTAGTCATACAACCCTTTCTTTTCGTCTCGCTCATCCCTAACAAATCAATCTTTCTTGTATTCATCATCTCACATATTTCTAACATCTTGCCTTCTACGCCTCCACACACATTCAGTGTAGCAAAAAGGCAATCCTCAGCCCGCTTTCTGCCTACTCACGGGGAGACAAAACGTGACGTGTGGCAGAGCACGTCGCCGTTGGGAATTTGCCAAGATACGACGGGGCTGCCTGAGCAATCATGCTCAGGGAGGGATTCTCCAGCGGAGCTGGTACCCTCCTGGGGTAGAGTTTAAAAATCCTAATTGAATAACAATACACATATTACACGCCCCTACAATTTTCGAAAGTTCTCCTCGGTTTTCCTAGGCTTCTATTATCAGATCCTGACCTCAATGAAAAGGACCATCTCGGGAGTATACCCTTTGAATCAAAACAAGAATTCTGGAAATCCGCGCCCGACGAGGTAGAAATAAAAAAACTTTAGGCATTTAACCAATTTTTGACAAAAATGTCGTGAAAATATATACCTATAAGGTAAAAAAAATATTATAACACACTACGTTATAATAAACTATAGTAATGAGCTATAGTGTAATAACATAAAAAGTGTAATAAAATAGTACGCACGCAGCGTCTGTGTGTGAGCGTGTCTACTGGCGTTAGATCGCCGCCGCGTGCCGTACGCGTCGACAACGAGTAGGTAAGATACTAGTACTTAGTACTCGTTACGTGTCAACTAGAAGTATGTTATTATCAGATTACATAAGTAGTAATAAGTACATATACTTACTTATTTCTGTTATTATAAGTTTTCGTGCGTTATTTGACATTGTTAATAATTGTTATCTCAATTCAACTCAGCACACCATAAAATATTATAACGCGAGCCGCATGTGATTGTGTCCAGAGAACAAGCCAAACTAATGCAATGCGATGAAATAGGATAGATGATCTAGCGCGGTCAATATCTCTCTCATACCTTTATTATTCAGGTTAGGATACTGGTACCGAAATATACCGGTTTTCATTTCATACCCAAAAATAGCGGTACCGAAATTAAATTTCGATACCGAAATTAAGCGGTAACCGTTATTTAACGGTATGACGTCATACCGCAATTTAAAGGTATCGTAATTTTTCGGTTATTCAGTCCCTGCCTATAACAAATATAATAATCAATTGTTGTAAACAAAACTCTAATAAATAGGAAAGTACGTAGGTACGGTTTTTTCATTTTTGTACGTTTTACGACTGCTTGTCTAGTTTCAAGCCACGCTAAGGGTTCATAGTCATGAGCAGCATTGTGCGATAACTTATGTCTGGGCCCTTTTTTTAAGGGTAGAAAATCATCGAATGACTGCTCCCGCCTGGGTGAGGCGGGAGGGAGTGTCAGACTCTTACTGACTAAAAACCACCCCGTTCCTTCTCCTGCACGTCGAGCCGGAGCCCCGGTTACCCGTTAGGTTCTCCGCGACTCCGAATCGGCATTTTAGTGTGGCTTGTCATATAACTTACGTTCAATGAACTCAAACGCCACACAATTATTTAAGTCGCGCTTAAATATAGTTCTGTCACGACAAATTCTTAGTAAAATGACAAAGATGGCACTATATTTAAAACTTAATTGAGTAGCTTTTCATTATCCGAGCGTTAGGTTCTTGTTATTTAAACAAATGGAACAACTAAACGTAATAGACACATTTAGGCCCGCTTGGCTTTTTCTCATGGCCGATGTGAGATCTTAAGGAAATATAAATACATAATGTATTCTTTTTCGACAACAGAGTTATAATTAATAGTAGGTAGGTAGAATTTATTATTATTTGTTTTATAATAGAAGTATTCATTCAATGTCAGTCAATTTATTTTGTGGTACTATTTTTATATTTCTATTTTTCAATATAGGATGCTTTCTAGGTAGCCTTTTTTTACAGAGTTTAGCGCTAAGACTTAACTTAGACCGGGAATTGTTAAAAACCAGTTTTGATCTAACTAGCCGGTAGTCCAGGCAATGAAAACAAAATAAATCTGTAATAAAGTTGAGAAACTGTTAATTATGGAATTTCTGACTTAGCGATCGATTTCTATCGTTATCATTGTCGAGACTTCAAGGTTATTTCAAAAACAAAATATTTCTATTCTATTTAGATTTATTAATTAAAGATCTATTATGTGTACATACATAATAAATCTTTAATTATTATGACTAAATATAATAGAAATAGGTATTTTGTTTATATGTATATTTTTTATTTTACGTTCGAAATCTCAAAAAACATATAGAGTAAAAATTGATTTAAAAAAAAATCGCAACGTTTGGCATTTTTTCGCATTTAAAATTATATTGTATGATTTGTCGTTACATAATAATATTATGATTATTATTTTTATAATATCTAGTCTTAAGTTTTATTATTGTTAAGTGAAATAAACGTACTTACTTATTTTAAAGTTATTTATTTCTTTTTTTTATGGTTGCTGACAGCTTATCGTTATTTGCACAGATTTTTTTAAAGGTGGAAAGTCATCGAATTACTTCTCCCGCCTATGTGAGGTGACGCGGGAGAGAGTGTCAGACTCTTACTGACTAAAAACCACCTTGTTCCTACTCTTGCACTTCGAGCCGGAGCCCCGGGAACCCTTTAAGTTCTCTGCGGCTCCGTATCGGCATCAGCCCTATTGGGCCCCATCCGTGGTGGTCTGATGGCTCTTTGAGGCGCGCGCGGAACGCGACACGCCGCTCGTTCGGGTCTAGTTCTGGTCGGGCGGCGAGCCACCCAGACTCGCCGTCCGCAGGCCTGTGCTTACGGTATAATTTGCTATCTCCCTATTATATGAGACTTATAACATAAATGGTGAGAAATTAGTATTATATTGTTTTCTAGCTGTTGCCTGCGACTCGTCCGCGTAGAATATGATTTCTGTGTTATCCTATGGGAGCATTTAATCGGTATAAAAAGTGCCCTATCATCTAAGTCAGCACATACCCTGCCTGTATAACAATTTTCATTGAAATCCGTTCGGCAGTTTCAGCATGATTGAAGGACAAACATCGAAACAAAGAATCTTTCACGTTTATAATATTAGTGTGATGTGCACCTCTGTTTACCCCTTCCGAGATTAAAAGGCGTGAAGTTATGGCTTATTATATTTAACTTGACCTATGACTTATTCATTAGATGGCCTTGCAGATTGGATCAATAAAATACATCCTAGAGGGCCGACGCGTCGTTCAGGAATTGATAAACTTTATAATTCTAATAATAAGTACAAAATTCAGACCTAAGCGTGTCTTAATATTAAAGTTATTTAAGAAAGTCTTGCAGTTAGAAAATTTCAATGTGTTTATATAGACTTTTGTTCTAAACTTACCAACATGTCAATAAAAAAATTAACTTTATACAAATCATAAGTAAATTTAAATTAGGTACAATAGTATAGTTTTTCTTATACGAAAAGAGAAACAAAAGATATAAATACGAATGCAAAAACGGAACGTTTTGCAAAAATAAATTCGTTTGAAATTTCTGAACGTAACATTTGAATGTCACGGTCAATAACACTGAGGTATTTATTGGTACCGCTGCTGCGTAAAGTGTAGTTATTTTTTCACCAAAGTTATCTATTAGCTTTCAGAAAAAAATCTACAAAATGGGGCCTAAACGTTCCCTAGATTTTGATTTATTTCTCAGAATATACGTGCGCGTTCTTTTAGTCGTCGCATTTTGGTAAGTCGTAATCGTATGATTGGTGTCATTTATTTATTTGTTTACAAACAAAAATCGACTAGGTAAGTATTTAATCAATGAAAATTGCCTATTTGTTTCCTTATATGTTATGTTAAGTTATTTATTATATTTATTTATGGAATAAAGTCATCAAAAGTTAGCTCACTGGCTGGAGTTATTGATGCAGGTCGTAGTTTTGGTACAGACCAGAGACGAAGCCCCCATTTAACCACCGAAACTGTTTGTTTAACTGATAAATTTTGTATTGTTCAATTAAATAAAGGTCCTTACTATCTCGAATTTCTTTTCATTTTTATCAATAAAATATGTATTTTTAAATGGACTGTAATAGTCATTTCTAAATCTTATTTCTATACCATATATATATATACCCAGATTGTTCAAGACGAAAAGTGGAAGATTTCTGTATGTAGGACTTTTCATAACCATTCAGTGGCGTAGCGTGCATTGGGGGGGCCCTGTATAAAAATTTGTTTAGGGGCCCTTGAAGGGTGAACATTTCTCATAAGAGATTTTTTAAATAAAATACTTATAATTAGTGTGAAAACCTAAAATCTTTTCAGGCAACTCCCTCTGTCCTAATTAGCGGACCTTAATTACTTTTATTTTTCTTAAGTTTCTGCCATCCTTTGAACGCATGCTCTACGCGGGAAAATGGTTTTTTTTTACTTTTGTGATTACTGAAATAGAATAAAAATTGGGAAGTATTTATTAATTTTTGCTTAGGCGCGTTGGGGGCCCCCTGTAGTCCGGGGGGCCGTATAATTGATACGGCAGATACGGCGCTAGCTACGCCCCTGTAACCATTCGTAACAAAAGAAAAGCGTATGTTCCGTATAAAGTAGAGATATAAAAGTAGATATTTGATGAGATGTGTGATGAATACCGCCCATGGACGCCATGCAACACCTGGGGAGTTATAAGTGCGTGCCAGCATTGGACTTTCGTTAACCACACTCACAAGGTCGTTGAGAAAAAGGCGGGCAATAATGTCACATAGAAATGATTGAAATACCAAAATGTCAGTGGGTTACTGGGTTTTTTTTGTTTGCGTGTGTATTGTGTTACCACGTTATCAGACTCAGAAACTGACAGATGTCCTTCGTGTCAATTTGTGTATGTCCTGCGTGTAAGTCTGTAGTAGACAGGTGCCATCACGGAATATAGAATACAATGGAAGTAGCAAGTAGGCGTGGCACGCGTGCCACAGCTAAGCTGTGTACTGCTTACTCGAGGCAAAATTTGAGTTCAGTCTCGTTCGAACATGGCGTCGAGTTGCTAGTCTCGTGTCAAATACATATTTCCTCAACTATGCCGTTTTGTTCCGTTTTGGCGTGTAAAAATGATAGCAGCCGAAGAATCGTAAAAATGGAGGTGTTCCGTATCATCGGTAAGTACAATTTTTATTGTTTTCTTGTAGAAATCTTATTTTATTTCAATTTACAAAAACAGTTATTAAAATAACATTATTTACTAAAACGGTTAGTCAAAATCAACCTTACGCCTTCAAGATAAAGTTTATTTTGGATTTATTCCATTCAATAGAACATTCTCGCCAGTTCTACGCTACTCAAATAGTTATGTAGTCAAATCACATATTGAATTTATCGATTGATATCGATGCAAGTGTAATGTAACATTTATTTAGATTATTTTTTTATTATTATTTTAGTGGTGACCCCGACGTGATTGGAAGCAACCTTCACTTCACGGAGCAGATCAGCACCGTCATCCTTATCGCCATCCCTCTCATTTATCACATTATCCATATAAAGTTTGTAAAAATTTATGTAATAGTTGTTACTTATATTGCCTATGTGAAATAAAAAAAATGATTTTTTGAAAAAAGAAACTAATAAAAAATACGAACAAAATGGTTTTTGATTTACATGTAAATAAATACTTACCCTTTTTTGTTACGTTTAAAAAGTTATCAACGACATATTAATTTTATTATTTTAATACTGTCACACTATAGCAGTCAATATTTTTTTTCATATTATTTTTAAAACACATTTTCATATTATCGATATTATTTTTATCGAATTATCCTACATCACTATCTGAGTAGAGACCCGCATTCGAGCCAGTGATAAGCCATTCAAATATCACCTTTATTCTTACAACGTTAAAGTTCAAACCAAGTACCACTTTTCGTCGCTAGATGGCATTGTTAAACGCCATCTAGCGACGAATGGCGGTACTTGGTAGTCCAAAACATACTTTTTTATTTTGATTTATAGTACATTGGTTTTAAAGTTGCATATCGTATGATATTTTTTTTGCATTTCGTTTACGCCCATTTTTTTTCTAACCAATCGTAATTTCCGATTTATAGTATGAGTAAATTATAAATGTATTAGTTTGGCGACACCGGTTCTGGCAGAAATATTGTTTCAAGCTACTTCCATTGTATTCTATATTCCGTGGGTGCCATAGTCGTTTGTGACTGAGAGAACTGTGTCCGCATTTTTTCAACGTCCTTGCACACTGACACAGCGATTAGATGAGAATGAAACTAAAATTAATTAAAGACAGTTAAAAACGGAAACCAGTAACATACATGTAATTTGAATTTCGCGCCCTCAGCATGTAACTCACTGAGACGATACTGAATAATTTGTCACACAAACAATTCATTTTGTCAACAAAATCGTATGTGTAGAACATACAAAGTGGAATAAAAAGAATGTTCCTTTCAAACTGAATAAGTCATTTATGTGGATTTTTCTATGTAATTATTACTATTCTCTAGCAATCACACTAGGTATGAAAAATAGCAACTTGCATATAGTAAGTATAGACATACGCACATAACTATACCAAGACCTAACAGTCGACCTCACAGAATGGATCAATAACTTATGACCTAGACTTAATTGTATCGTTCGGAAATTCTGAGACATAAGAATTAAGTATACTAACATAGATACTGTCTTTGAAAACAGCTTATTATGGAGAAGAATAGTGTTATTGTGGAAATTCGAAACAAAAAGATAAATCAATGCAATGGGATTGGATTGTAAAACAAGTCATTTGTTGTCATTGGACAATGACTATGTCGTTGGATTTCTTTAAAAAAATGTCTCCTAATATATAATAAACTTGTAGGTGCAACAAATAACATTTTACAGCCAGGTTCTAATAAAACTTAACAGCATTTGCAGAAACGAAACGTATTTCTGCCGACTGATAACAAAACTTGATTATGTTGTGTAAACGTGAAATTTCCGAACGAAACAACAAAACGTCAAATCCTTTATCAAAATTTTCTGTGTTGCGAAAAGGTTTTAACAAAGTTATCTATTTATTTGTGTAAAAAACATAATAAAAATGGCTTTAATTCGTTCTGCCAACTTTAATTTATTTATTGAGATTGTAGTCCGGATAATGCTAGTCACCACTTTTTGGTAAGTCCTGTCCATATGTTCGTTTATTATTTACAAACACCTTTCTCGATTTTATCAATGAAATATATCTTGATTGAATCTAAATCTTATTAAAAATGGCTTTTCAATAATCAATCTTACATACATCTGGCTAAGACGTCCTAAAATAACATTTTTAAGTTAAAAAATTACAATGTAAAATTTCGATTTTTATTTTTCGGCGGAACTAAATTTACCGTTTTACATTTTACAAAAATGATGTTAACTTTGTGATGTCATCAGAACCGTATCAGTTTATGGCCGCATGTATTACTGAGTCATTAAATTATGCATTTTGATGAGCACTTTTATTTTCTTTTAGGTAATTCAATGATAATATATTTTAATTACTATCGCACTTTTATTCGTGTAGTAAATAAAAGATTTTAACATAACGTCACGGTCTTTGATCCATGATGGCAGAGGCAGAAGTGCAATGTAGGCAAACTAACAAAGTCTGCATGTAGTGCTGTGCAGTACCGACAATTTTATAGAAAAACAGAAAATCAGGTAGTTCTGCTGTTTAACCCGTTGATATCCATCCCCTAAATTTGGTCATACAAAAGTATTCTCTAAACATTAGAAATAAGGTCTATAATGTAATGTAATATTAGTGGAAAGCGGTCACCGGTGACCGCTTGGGGATTTATGGGCTAATCTGATTTGAGTAATCCTTTAGTCTGCTATATGACGCCTGTTTATGTTCCTGTTTATGACACCAGAGGCCTTAGTACGGGTTTGTTTTACGTTTACAGTAATCGTAACAAGTATGCGTTCGGCACTGTGATTGGTTGCTTCATTGGCGCTGGCCAATCAAAGTGCCGAATGCATACTCGTTTCGAATACTTTAAACGTAAGTCAAACTCGTACTAAGGCCTCAGAGAAGGAGCGGTCTGTTGGTCTGGTGACTATTGCACTCTGTTCTCACTAGACCACCAAAGTACCAATTTGACTGCCTTACTAATATTATAACTGCCTTGTTGGCCGAGTGGTCGCAAGTGCGACTGCCGGGCAAGGGGTCTCAGATTCGATTACGGGATCTGGCAGTCTTACTGGGTTTTAAAAAAATCTCAGTTGTAGTATGCAGTCTGGAATTGTGACCGATATATAGCAATACGGAGCCTGGAATTGTGCCCAATTTATGGCAATAGGCTCACCCCCTATTACATGGGACTCATATAATAAATAGTGAAAAGTGAGTGTTACATTGTACAATGGCATTAAGTGCCATAATGTGCACCTCTGCCTACCCCTTCGGATATAAAATTATGTTTTTTATAAGGTTATTTTTTATAACACAGGAACGTGGCCAAAGCTGCAGATTAATACTTATATTTTGTATGTTTACTCATTGATAACAGGTATTACTGTTTGCATAAAATAAACAGACATCTGTTGCCAAGCCGTAACTTCGATGTATATTTTATTTTCAGACAGGTGGTCATAATTCAAATATACATTTATCTAGATACTAACTGTTACTCACGAGTTCGTCTGCGTAGAATATGATTACTGTTTTATCCCATGGTATCATTTAATTTATTTTCTTAATTTAATTTATTGTCTTTTTATTATCATTGTTTTCTGTTTGCATCGTTTGTTTTGTTTCCTGCTTTGACAATTTTCCATTTTATATTCAAAATTACGATTTATTTTGTTTGCATGTCGTGATCTCCTTTAATTGGAGAAGCACAAGGTATCTGTTTATTGTATTAACACTGTGCATGTTACGTGTATTCTCTGTTGGAGATCCTTTTTAAATAAAAATAAAATAAAATAAATAATCAAGAGATAAAACGATATCCTATCACCTAAGTCAGCCCACGCCCTGTCTGTATACCAAATGCCATCAAAGTCCATTCAGTAGATTCAGCATGATTGACGGACAAACATCCAAACAGAAACTTTCACATTCATACTATTAGTGTAATAACTGTTTAAATTGAATCATATTATTTGTTAATTAATGATATTATTATATTAACAGGCCCACAGGAAGAAATTCCAATAGGAATAGGTGGTACCTTTGTACTTTAAACTGTCAAACACCAAGCGGTCACCGGTGACCGCAACCTATTGTTCTATCATTGTGTCTATAATGACGGTACTCAACGAGTTAATTTTATGTATGTGTTGTATGTGTGTACATAAATAAATAAATAAATAAATTTAGTGGCTTATAAATTTTTTATAAATATGAATAAATTGAATTAGTAACTAATTTTGTATTTAAGTAAAAATTTCGGGATAACCACGTGAAGATACTAAGAAAAGCTCTACTAGTTTTGAACCACAGAGGAGTTCTTCCTCATGAGCAGCGTGCACGGTCGCGGCGATGTCGCGCAGCCTACTTAGAGTAGGCTCTAAGTAGTAACCCATGATTTTGAGTTAATTTAGTATGTCCTACGATAGTTATTATAAAAACATAATTTGTAATGTTTACCTACTTGATTAAATCATGTAAATTAACTAGCTTATGCCCACAGTTTCGCTCGCTATCCCTGTTCCAAATTTCATCCCGATCCTTGCAGCCGTTTTGACGTAATTGAGTAACACACAAACACAAGTTCGCAAAGAGAAGGAAGGAAACTACCCAGTTTCTATTTTAAACTGTCAAACACCAAGCGGTCACCAGTGACCGCAACCTATTGTTCTATAATTGTGTCTATAATGACGGTACTCGACGAGTTAATGTCCGTCTGGTACATTAATTTAAAACTTTAGACACGTATTTTTTCTTTTCTCACAAAGTTAAATACTCTCGTCGATATATTAATTTGAAATGTCGTGTGACGTCACAGCGTGCCACATTTTGTAGCACGTTATGACGTAACGACCTCCCAATCCTAGACTTAGCGCCATTTTATCTAAGTATTGCAACTTAATACGTGAAAATAAAAAAATACGTGTCTAATATTTTTTCATTATCTAACTGACGGACTAATTAGATTTTTAATTTTGATAGCCTGACTGGAAAGTATGGTTCAAAGTGAAAGTCAAAAGTCAAAGCATTTATTTTAAATAAACTATAATTTGGTACTTTTGAAACGTCAACAAATCAATACATAGTATAAAACAAAGTCGCTTTCGCTGTATGTTCGTATGTATGCTTAGATCTTTAAAACTACGCAACGGATTTTGATGCGGTTTTTTTTAATAGATAGAGTGATTCTTAAGGAAGGTTTGTATGTATAATGCATGCATATTGCACCCGTGCGAAGCCGGGGCGGGTCGCTAGTACAAAATAAATAATAGTCTGTCAGTCAGTCGGTCAGTGAAGCTAGGTGAAGCTAGGTGAAGCTAGGTGCTCATTCCAAAATGTAGATTCGAATGGAGAAGAACGAGCAAGAAACTCCATTCGTTACTCTTTTTAAAAAGTATGTTCTACAATGTCTCTGATACATATTCCAATACTGTACGTGTATGTGAGAACAATGTAAAGACACGCTTGACGCATTATAGGTACTAATTACAAACCTTAATAAAAAAATATTATTATTATAATGTTAGGAAGTTTTTTTTGCTTTCTTCTTGCCAACAGTTACATGGAAACAATGATACCATTTGTCCGAGTGGTACAGAAGGCTGAACTGGAGACGTACTACATGTACCCACGCGTGGACTCGTACGTGCCAGGCAGCGTGCTGTGGACCATAGTCCTCGCCGTACCGTGCCTAATATCGCTGATGGCGTGGGCCTGGTACAACGACTGCAATGATGCTTTTGAGGTAAGTTTCACCATTTCGTTTTTCTCTTTTCAGTAACGTTGTCCCACAGTAGGATTGCCTCCTGTGTCGTGGGTGCGTTTACAAACATACAAGTTCACATACACATGACACCCAGACCCGGAACAACAATTTGTGGATCATACGAACAGCTGTTCCGTGCGTGAATCAAACCCGTGGCACGATACGCGGCAGCCGGTTGCACCAACCGTGCAATCTAAAGAGCAAATGTGAAACCAAAGCAAAGTTTTTTAGTACCCAGGTGATTGGAAAATCATCGAATGACTTCTCCCGACCTCATTGAAATGGAACCATCTCGGGAGTATACCCTTTCAAACAAAAAAAAATTGCACAACAGTACCTTCTCCTTTTTGGCGGTACCTTAAAGGCGGTAAAACGTTTTTTTTTTATCTTTTACGGGTCGTTAAAGATGTGATGTTATGTTAATATTGTTCGCAGATCCTGCTGTCATGGTCCTTGGCTCTTGGCATCAATGGCGTCTTAACTGATATGGTCAAACTCATTGTTGGTAAGTAACCTCTTTGGTTGATGTGTCCCCACATATTTTTTTTTTAAGGGGGAAAAATCATCGAATGACTGCTCCCGCCTGGGTGAGGCGGTCTCCTGCACGTCGAGCCGAAGCCCCGGTTACCCATTAGGTTCTCCGCGACTCCGAATCTAATACTACTTTAATACTAATATTATAAATCGGAACGTGAGATTGTTTGTTTGTTAGTTTGTTTGTTCCGCTTTCACGCCGTAACTATTGAACCGATTGCTTTGAATTTTTGCAGACGTAAAGTTAGAAGTCTGGATTAAATAATAGGGTAAATATACTTTTTATCCCGGAAAAATTTGATATTCTCGAGGGTAAACGAAATTATTGTTATAGATGGCGCTGTGTGTATTGGTATATGTCATATAGGCTACTTTTTATCCTTTTGTGATGCGAGCGAAGCCGCTGGTAAAAGCTAGTAATTAATAAAGATAAATAAAGATAGATAAAGTTGTTCGTTCGTTGTCGTCTAATGCCCGGTTCCTATATTTAACGGATCGTCGTGGTATACGAACTACTATTCGTTTTTCGAGTACCAACAACGAGTCGTAAATAGTGTTCCACAATTTATATTCTTTACCTGCTTTTGACGAACGTCCGTTGGTCATAAAAATACCGAGCCCTCTTGACTCCAGATGTTCAACATGTCTGCGACAAACGTGCGTTTCGTTATAAGCAAAATTTAAACTCAAAATAACACAACATTTAAGATAAAATGAGTTAGATTTACATACCAATTAACCTTAATTAGTTTTATAAGATGTGTAACTAACTAAACCATCGCAGGCATTTGCGTGATGAGTTTTTTTTACTTCCCAAACATAATTGAACACAGCTTACACTAAAGGAATGGAACGTTGTGACAATCAAGCGCGCGCGCTTGACATCTGTCAAACAGATAAAATTTCAAAATTTCAAATTT